ACTTCAAAAAGAATCGCAAGGAAGCAAAATATACATTTTACATGTACTATGATGCGAGTCTTGTTTCCTTCCACCTTCATATTTGCTGGGCTAACAGAAATGTAAATACCGGTGCAATACTCATTTGTTAGCTTTGATTTGTTTTATTTCACCTTATATACCTCCTCCATCAAGAGCCAGGGTTAAAATCAGAGAACCACTTTGTCTTTGACCTTTGTACCCAAATGACCTTGACCATTAACCCAGTGACCCTGATCTTTGGTCAGTTGACTTTTTCTTTAATTCCGACCAACTTTGCTTCTTAATATCATAACAAAATGTTCATCAGTGAAAAATACAAAACTTGACCTTGACCCTTTGGACCCAGTGACCTTGACCTTTGGTCAATTGACTCCTTGTTTAATTCTGAGCAACATTGCTTCAAAGTGTCATAGCGAAATATTCACCAGTGAAAAGATACAAAATTTAACCTTGACCCCTGACCCGATGACCTTGGGTCAGTTGACTCCTTGTTTAATTCTGATCAACTTTGCTTCATAATGTTCATCAGTGAAAATATGTAAAATTTGACCTTGACCTTTGAACCTAATAACCTTGACCTTTGACCTTGACTTTTTACTTCAATGTGTATTTTTGTGAACTGAACATCTTGACCAAGTTTCATGTACACCGTCAATAAAAACCAAAGTTATCAGCCAGGAACAAAATTTGTGGACGGACAGACAGAGTGATTACTATAGGGCACCCGTATCTCCGATACAGGGCCCTAATAAAGAATTTCATTTCAATAAAAAAAACAAAAACTGAAGTAATCATGCCTATTCTACACAAACCTCATTCTGGTGTGATTTTGGATTAGGGAGGGTACGCAGGTTCATCGTCATGACAACAAGAGGAGGTGGAGACAGGTTCAGGGATGAATCTGTCATGACGCTGACATAGTCTGGGCGAGTTAACATCACCTGGTTTAAAAGACAATGTAATAAATACAACTAAAGGATCAATTGAAATATCAGGGAGCATATGTTTTTTTCCATACATCTTTATTTTAAAAAAGTTTTTTGGAACAGAAAGGGATATGCTTAATCAAGAAAAGATCATCCCAATTCTTAATAAGTAATCAGTTATTATAAATGGAAATGTACACTGAATTTGATTGAATTCATTCACCCCTGAAAACACATTTGAACTCTTCCAATTCAATGGCTGGAATAGTTCATTATGAAATGTCAGGTGTGAATGAGTTAATATAGAAAATCAAGCGAAACACTTGGGAAATGATGCAACTCCAAGGAGTTGATGGTGTTGATTAAATCACCACACCTAAAACCTGATCTCTCCCAGTTTTACTACATACCTCAAGCTTGCACCAACTGATTGGCAGATTTGAAATTTCTGAAAATGGTGAAAATTCATTACATGAGGAAATCCTTGCTGCAGTTTGATTATTGTCCTCTCCTATTCTGTCTTTGCGTATTGCAGAGTTATCTTCTCTTGTGAGCAGGTATTGATTGTTACGTCATTGGTTTGTGAGAGTAACGTCATCAATTTTTGAGAAAATGATGCAATTTTCTCACACAAACCAATGACGTAACAATCAATACATGCTCACAAGAGAAGATAACTCTGCAATACGCAAAGACGGAATAGGAGGGTGACATCATCAACACAGCACATCATGCACTGTTTCTATTAATGGATTCATGTAATAACTATATGGTGTTTCTACTCTCAATATCAGTACTACATAATGTCAATATTAGTATACCTCTTACAAAACATATTTCCAGTCATTATAAGTACACAACTTTACTATGCAGTATTTCTACTGTAGATATAAATACACAGGATTTATTTTTATATTTCTACTTAACTTGGACCCTATAAACCTACAAAAGAATATGAAAGTTGTTTTTTCAGTATTACTTTTTATATATATGTATTTTTTTTAAACATCTTTTCTCAGAATTTTCAGATTGATCAAACATGTATGTATGTTTTGTTTTAACCCTGTAATCAATATAAAACAGCTATTTATTTTATCGGGATGACATCACAGGTTGGCAGCATCCGTGGCACAAATCCAATATTTTAGAAATTATTAAAAAATATCAAAATTGTACTGAATGTAAATACAAGGATTGAATCCTGTTGTGTTGAGGTGAACAATAAGATTCAAGCCTTGAATTTTAAGTTTTTCCATTTCAAGGCGGAAATGAACATTATATTTTGATTTAACTAGTAACTTGTGATGATTTCCTCCCTGGTATATGAAGTGAATGCGTCACTTACGAGGACATTTGAGATCAAGCCATGAAGGACCTTTCATCTTTGCATCCAACAGGAAGATTTCCAAGCTGAAAGGAAAACGCAAAAATATTTTTCAACAGGAAAATGGATAGAAATAATTTATATGTTTAATAATAACAATTCATGTCCACTGTACCGGAGTAAAATATTTGTAAGACAAACAGATGTCACACTTATCTAAATTTGAAATATTGGTGAAGTTATCCCCAAGATGAATTCAAATACGAAATATAAAGACTGTTCAGTACTAGAGTAATTGAACTAAAGGCGAAGTATGACCATGAGAATTTTAAAGCAAACACTTAATGATCCTTCTTGTCATGACGCAAGGCATAAAACCTGATGTTGTGGAAGCGACCTCAAGTTTGTTTAACATGTACAGATATAGGAAATGTTCAACAGAATGTGATGCATGACTGACAGACAGAGAGGATGAAATGAAAACAATGTATTGTTTTTTCCAAATGTGCGGGACAACCAAGACCATGTGAGATGGGTGTAGAGGTATTAGTCTTCAACAAACAGTGACAGTGAATTCTCTTACCAAGAGGTCTTAGTACCAAATACGTGAGAAAATGTTTCGCCCTTCAGATCCGACGGCAGAACTGGATTGTCAGCCTGTAAAATACAACCACCGATATAGAATTAGTGTCAATGTAAATTTCAGTCAGTGTAAATATTCAGGCCTATCACATCAACGAGTTGATGTCAGTGATAGTGATTTTTTTAACTTTTTTTTCTAAAGGGCCAGTGCCTTTTTTTTTTATTGGGAACTTTAATGTGCGGACACAATGAATTGGGAATTTTACGACATGTTACGGATGTATGATATTAGGGAAATTTTGTATGAGATTACAATCGATCATCAGCCCATCACTAGGTGTAAGGAACTCACTGCATATCTGACTTCCAGATAGTCTGACTCTACTGGGACCTCTTCCTTTTCAAAGGCATACTGCTTCGTAGCTTTCTGAAAAATAAAGTTATTTGCATTGACAACATGTTTTAAAATAAAATTACAAAGCAATTTATCAAACTGCAATATTTCCACCAAGCTTTGTCGGGCTCCATCATAGGATGCTACTGGACAAATATGACTCTAGGCCTTTCGGATCTTCAGAAGAAGTTGTTAAAACAAAAAGTTGACGGACAGACGCTGCGCCATGGCATAATCTCACAGGTGAGCTAAAAATAATATTATCCTAATGTAACATAAAGCAAAGCATAAATTTGCAAGACTTCAGAGTTATATCTGCAATTCATCATCAAACATTCATTATGAAATAACAGACCTTGGATTTGAATTTCTTGATTTTGTGTTTCTCGACGATCTTCTCATTGAATTCTGTGTAGACATCTACCAATCCAACCTCAAACCCTGTGTCCTCTCCTGTCTTCTGACAAAATTTCTACAAAATCAATCCAAAGGATATTTTCCATAACCATTTTTGAACATTTCACATCTAATATATTGTAAAATTACAGCAGGTTGTTGTACACCACTGGATGTTGGAATACTCAGGGGTCAGAATGGAAAGTTTTCATTATATGCAATTAACTTATGTGTTGAAGACTTCAGTGACGTGCACAGTCATGGGCATGGGTTCAATTCCACAATATATCCCAACCAGTTTTTCCTCCCATAATGCAGTTAATTTACTCAGCTATATAATTTACCCTCAATCATTTTCTTTAAAACCCTTTTGCACATCTTTCCCTCCTTCCTCCCCCATCCTCTTCTCTTCCATATACTTTTATCTATATGTATAATATTAGTCAGTGCCATCTAAATGCCGTTTTACAAAAAAAGAGAATCAGATGGATTAACAAAAGTACTTTGTACTTGTTTTCGAATCTTATATGTATATCATGTTTGTATCACTGGAATATTATAACGATAATAAAAAGTTTAAACTAATATATTGTAACAGAGACCTCTTTTCCAAATGGCCCTGAATCTCCCTGTAACCCATTCCTGAGTGTCCTACCACTAAGGTTACGTTTACTTACCTCTAGTCATGCCAGTGATCAGTGTTAAGGTGGTCCACCACTAACATTGCCAATAATGTGCTTAATATACCAGAGGTTCATTCTTTGCTCCATTAACATTTCATTATAACTACTGGAATTGATGTTTAAATTGCCTTAGATAAACTACTTAGTTAGGGCATCAATATTTACAGAAGTTGAAGAAGCCAATTTTCTCCCATCCTCGATACCCAGGGGTTATGCTCACTTTTGCTCTCTACACCCCTGGAATATGTCATAGCAACAATGAAGGCACTCGGCTAGCTATTTGATTGGTGTCAGGTAAAACAAAACCCTGACCAATCACTAGTCTGATACTTGTCCTTTGAAGATTACATAGGAGCAACGCTCGACTTCAAAGCCTATCATTTTTTACCGTTACGCGACCGCGAGATTCTTTTGATGTCCATCAAAGGACCAAACTAGTCTCCTCATCTCATCCACAAGGTGTTGCACACTGAGCCTTCAATTTTGCTATGACATATCCCAGGGGTGTAGAGAGCGAAAATGAGCGTAACCCCTGGATAACGAGGAATTTTGTTTTCCTAATAGGCACAATTGGGATAAGTGGTGATAACTGATTTGTATCAAATGTTGTCCCCCCCCCCCCCTCTCTCAATTTTTTTCCCCATTATAGCAACTGTATTGTACACCATTATAAAAGATCAAATATATCTGCATCCTCCATCAACTAGGTACTAACCGTTTTTCTAGGAAGAAGGTACAATCTTCTTTCTATGTTTTTGACAGTCACACAACAGCTGACATGTGTTTTCGCCGAATCAATCCAAACTTTTCCGAATAAGTAAACGGTTCCTAAAACACAAAACTTCCGTTAAAACAAAATGCATTCATAAAAACACTCATATTCAACTGAAATGACCAGGTACTATACTTTCAATGATATACTTAGTAAACACACCAACCAATTGCTACTTTTAACTCAAATTTGTCCATATTCATTTGGGCCTTTTCACTTCGGTGTAACTCAGCTCCTGCCCCCATTCGGAGGGGGAGCTGTAGCACATATACGTAAGGGTCGTTCCACAGCCCAGCTGCTTCCTGGCACCCCGTAAACCTGTTTACTCAACATGAACTACAATCGACCTTCGGCACAGCTCTGTTCCGCCGTGGGCGCCACAAGAATTACGACATATGCCACAGCCGCTTTCACACAGTTCATACAGCCCTATAGTATGTAGACTGTCCATATTATTTGCCATATATGGACACTATTAATAATGCATGCAAGTTTTCGGCCGGGCCTATGCCACTTTATCAAGACTTCAAAATTCTAGTTTCGGTTATGTGCAGTGTGTGTGAGTACCGGTATGTGGCCAAACATTGTTGTATGAATACATGCTATGAATCTGAACTACTTTGTTTGTTGTTTCATAAACTCAAAGAAAGAACAAAGAATTTCTTCAATCTTCTGATCAGAATCATCTTTGTATCTAAGAGAAGCTGACATTTAGTGATCACACATTCCAACAGCCTCTGAAGGTAATCAATACCAGGCTATTTGACACCATTTTTTTTCTCATTTTCTCACATTTTTTTCAAATTCATTCTTTGTACTCCTATACGATCACTACTAAAACAGCAAATCTACAGAGACAACACTGTAGTCCACTATGTTATTTTTAAGGATTTGATTAGACAAGTCACCTGGGTTATTGTAAGGGTCTTCGTAAGCATCCAACCAGTAAAAGCGTAACACTTGCTCTCCAGCTTCATTGGTAACCAAGGGTAACTTTGAGGTGTCCACCTGGACATCTGTCTGTGAGACGATGGGTTCTGATTGGCTGTCAGAGTATGAACCCCAGCTTGTAGAGAAGGTCTCAAAAGGTCTGGAAAAAATGAGAACCTATCAATAACTATGGTCCTTCTCAATAATATGATTATTCCTTATATTTCAATTATTGTTAAAAAAAGAAAAGCTCATGATAAAATGCCCAAAGTAAACCCCCCTCCTCTGGTTATATAATTATGTACACATACTCTATTTACTATCGCAAGAGGAAAGGAAAAATGCACGGCCAGAATGGGGTTCAACCAGGACCTTCCGAACTCTAGACAGATGCTCTACCAACAATCGACCCAGTCCAGTTCTGCTACATTCCTCCCTCCTTTAACAAAGTCTTTGACCCCGAAGTCACATGAGACCCTATACCATATTCTGTGTTCTACCAATTGAGCTATCTGGTCGCCTAGGATCGACCCAGTCCAGTTACGTTACACTACATACATATATACACGATAAATTAGCCCTCAGACAAATCTTTTGACCAAGGCTAACCTGAGGTAATAACATTACACAATTATTTTAAAACTTATTTTACAGAACCAACACGATCAGTATCCTTTGTGTTAACAATTTTTACAGTGTACCTTAGCACTTAGTCATGCAAAGACATTTAATTATCTATTTAACTCATTCACCCCTGAAGACACATTTGGACTTTAGATTATCACTATATACTGTTGCTGCATTTGTTTAAAACGATTGAACCAGTTGGACCAGAGTTGTTGGTTTAAGAAATAAGGTCGGACCTAGAATTCTTGTATACTTGACCAAGATATCCGCATTTCCGGTGGTGCTGGAAAATTCTATCCGACCCACGGGTCTAGATTGCTTACACGCGCAAACTAGCGGGGGATTAGTGACCTTTCGGGTCATGCTTTTGTTCGTGATGTCATTTTATGATGTTTTGGGGTCAGTCAGGGTCATTGACATCACTAACAATTGATATCTGGGCTTCATATGCAAATGAGATATGTGCGGACAGTTTACAATTTTACTAGAAGAGCCTCAGGGTCTCCTGCTCAATATTTTATCCCAGTGGTTTGAATTACCTGATCAATACCTCACATCAGGGACGGATTCTATTAATCTCATACTGCTTTTTAAGTCAGCCTTGACAAAGCCTTGCAAGGCCTCCATAACAATGGCAGGTCCGCCAGGATTTATACCTGAAAATGCTTCATTTTAAACAAAAAACCAGTTGAACCTGATACACGAAAGGGGCATATAGTATGATAATAACAATTCATGAATTTAGAAGACCCAGATGAAAGGGCATGCATTTAGATGACCTAGATTAATAGGTCATGCTCTTAGGGTTCATTCGAGTATCCGGTTGAAATGGTTGAACCTGTAAAGAAAACGACAGGCACAGATCTGAACCGAGGCTGACCTCAGGAATATTCGGCATGTGTAATTTGAGGGGTCCAGACGTACCTGACTGAAATTAAAATGGTGACTATTGCTAGTTTGTGTTATTTCTTTCTAAAACAATGTCAAGCCACATGTAGTTTTTAAGATACGTTATGTCATTCAGTGGACGGATGAAAGAAGGGCATAATATTCTTGAGACATTGTTTTTTATTCTCCGAAACTGTGCATCTTTAGCTCTGCTTATAGAACGGTCCAAGTCCATTCGTTTATCTTGGATAATTTCTGCACCACCTGTACCGTTTTAACCGGAATATGTGAATGTAACCTTAGAAGACCTGGTTTAGAGGGCCATGCACTTACATGACCGTGATCATGTACTTAGGTTGTGTACTTACATGACTACAACAGGTTCCGATTTAGGTTCTACTTTTGGTTTGACTAAAGTCATGGTAACCGGTTCCTCTTTCGCTTTGACCTTAGTGGATTTCTCATCCACCTCCTCATCAAAATCAATGTCATCTAACTCCACCAATCCCGAGTCGTCTGTAAAACAAGGTCAGAAATGATGACTGCTTCAAAATCTTGAATAAAAATAATTCATACCACTATCAAACAAAACAAGGATCCCGTCTCACTTTTCCAATGAAGGATTAGTTCCATAATAGTTAAAAACACACAGAGGGCAATATTTTTTTTTATTTTTTGGATGAAACACAATCACAATATGTCATCTGAGGGACGCTGGTTACCTTAAAATGCAGAAAACTAGAAAAAGTCTAACCAAAGAAATGGAGCTCATCATGAAGTTACATGGTGGTGAAACAACCGATATATGATAATTGTAACTGAACCAACTCAGAACAATAATGGTAAGAGTTATAGAATTCATAACAAATTAGGCAAATTCACAATAATTTTGCATTTCTCAGTGGTACATGAAAAACTATAATAGAACACATCACATGCTATCTGCATGATGCAAGCATTGGATTTAGTGGTGTCTTATGTAAAATCCAATTTTGCACATACTGTTGCTCAAATGTGACATGTAAAAGTAGTTAAAAAGTAGTTATAATGCCAATCATCTGAATTGCAAGTATCAAATAGTGTCAAAGAAAACTTATCTATTTAAGTATGATATTCAACAAGTTAGTACTTACGTAAAAATAATCATTATGCACGCCTTAAAAATTCAGGTGAGGACATTATATACTTATTTATAAAGGGATTCAACCTTAAATGTACTTGTGAGGTTGTTGAACTGTTTGTTGTTACCCTTAAGAACCTGGCAGCAGTCTTTACCATTGATGTTCTGCACTGTATCTACATCCATGCTGTCCACTTCATCAAAATCTTCCTTGAAGTCATCCTGGGGGTCAGGAATGTTAGGACATGGGAGGGGGCGCCTCTTCTTTACTGGCTTGACAGACAGAACAACGCCTGGTTCCTGCTTGATCTCCTGTTTAATACGTAGAGGAGCGGGAGCTGGTGGGGCTGGTTTGTTACGTACCGCAGGTTTGACAGATGTACTGAAGGGGTTGTAAGGTGACCTAAAAATGTATTGATATATATATACAGTAAAACTTGCCGTAATAACCCTCTGTATTCAGCAACTCTCTGGCATATGCGACCTAATAATTTCCTCCCAATCAAATTCACTATATGAACATTATGCATTAAGCGACCACTTGTCTTAGGCGACAAGCCATCGTTTATTTTCACTCCCAAAACTAAAATTTAGCGACTTTGCATTCTGAAAACTAGACCGGAAGTGAAATCGCAATTAGTCGTGACTGGAATCATCAAACTTCGGCTGATTCTGTGTCGCGACTGGGTACCGAGATAAAATCTCTCGTGATAGGAGATTTTAGTGTCAGAGTACTGTTTACCTTTTATAACATGTGTAGTATTATTGCCTTTTGTTTCACAGGAAACATTTCCTATTTTTGTTCGAAAAAGGACCATGGTGAAATTATTAAGAGTAATTTTCCAATTCCAAAGAAACGAGTCAAAATACTGTGAGCAATGCATGGACTCCAACATCCAGATTGACTTTTAACTCATTAACCCCTGAAATTTCATAATGCACTTTTCCAACCTTTGAATTGGAAGAGTTCAAATGTGTCTTCAGGGGTGAATGAGTTAACACAGATCAACAAACATACTTGAAATCTAAAGGCTCTACTCTTCATACAGTTATTTTCTCTACACCCTTGGAATATGTCATGACAAAATCAAAGGCTTGCCATAACATTTTTGATTGATTTCACATATAAAAACCTGACCAATTAATAAACCCCACTAGCCTTGTTCCAATTAATCAACTTTGTTGACTATTGATTATTGACCAGTTAGGCCAATAAAATGATTAATCGACTTCAGAATTCATGATCAGTAGATATTACGGAGTTTTCAGTAGAATAGTTCACGATTTCAAGCTTATCCCCCTGCTAGATTAACTAACGAGAGTTAAACAACAGAATTCGCCTGACATTTATTTCCAGCTGCTACATTTACATCATCAATGACTTACTTTCACTTTCAAGCCCGATTCTGACTACAAATAACATATAACGAAGGTATTTCTTACATGGTAATTTTTGTTTTGTCTAAACAACTTGTAACAACAGTATTGAAAATTCCATGATACATTTCTTTAAAATGATCATTGGTTAGTTAATGTCAACCAATGATTGGTTCTTAGTTTCAACCGGTTCCCATCACTAGGGTGACCATACTTCATTATATCACTTTGGGGGTTCTATGTAGTATTCCCATCTTATGATCATATATATCTCAAGATTGTTTTATCAGCTGATTGCCAAATGTTTTCTAAATGTTTAACCAGTGCATGTATTATTATCAACATATCTACGTCAACAGATCTGAATGCTCTGCCTGCGCAGTCATCCAGTTTACGTCAATAGACAGTCACCTAAATATATGTTTGCCCCTCCCATTAATTGGTCAACCACAGACATACAACCTGACCAGGTTTAGTGCATCCCCGATACTCCAGAGGTTACGCTCACTTACACTCTCTTCACCCCTGGAATATGTCATAGCAAACTTAAAGGCACATGACTAGCTATTTGATTGGTCTCGGGTGAAAAAATCTGACCAATCACAGGCTGATACCTCTCCTTTGAAGATCTTAAAGGAGTGACAACAGACTTTAAAGCCAAAAACTTTACCGTTATGCGAGAGTAAAATTATTTTGATGTAAATGAAAGGATCAAACTACTCTTGTCTCATCCACAAGGTGGCGCACACTGAACCTTTGATTTGCTATGACATATCCCAGTGGTACAGAGAGGGAAAATGACTTAATGAGTGTAACCCTTGGAGTATCAAGGATGGGTTTAGTGTAAGTAGACCAGAAGAAATAGGTGTGAGGCAAGCCTACTTGTATCATTTGCCAGAAGATGTGTAAAGAGCCTTCGATTTTGTCACCACATTCCAGGGGTGCAGAGAAGATATTTTTATCTAGAGCAGATCCCTTGGAGTTTGAGGATGGTCCATAGTATTCATCCTCAACAATCCAGAGATAACCCACACTTTCGCTCTAAGCACCCCTGGAATATGTCATACCAAAAGTGAAGGCTCAAGTGTGGGCCACCTTGTTGGTGAGACAAGACTTGCTTGATCCTTGAATGTTCATCAAAAGAATCTCGCAGTCACTTAACGGTAAAAATTGACAGGCTTTGAAGTGGGGTGTCGCTCCTTTTTAATCTTCAAATGAAAGGTATCAGCCTATTGATTGGTCAGATGTATTTTTTACCCAGGACCACTAATCCAACAGCTATCTTTGTGCCTTTAATTTTGCTATGACATATTCCAGGGGTGTAGAGAGTGAAAGCGAGTGTAACCCCTGGAGAATCGAGGAGGATAGCATTAGGATATCAAAGTAGTTTTGTATTGCTGTAAGGATAGGGAATTATCAACAATGAACAGACTTCAGTCGTCCAAGCAAGACATATGATGCCTAATGGCACTGCGGAAGTTGTTGTTTTTTTTTGAAATGTTGACGATGGATGACATGCTGCATTATGGCATAATATCATGGGCATTTTATGCCAGGTGAGCTAAAAACCATCTCATTATAAAAATTTGGAGTTTGACTTTACTTATTAGAAGCATGGCCCCTTTTCTTCAGCTTAATGGGGACAGGAATGATGGAATCAGAAGGCCCGTTGTGAAGTTCTTCCATTAGATCACCGAGTAATTCATCTCCGGCTAGGCTCACGTCCTTCTGTGAACAGACATATCTCATCAGTATTATCATGTGAATTCTATTTACAAATTGACTGGATAGATGTGGTTCTAGGGTTTTTGCCCAAAAATTCTAACATATAGTTATTATAACCAAATGTCCTAGGGAGACTAAAATATTACCTCCACTTTCTTCTTGCTGCCCCCCGTAGCGGCCTGTGCCATGAACATAGACTTGATATTGGCCTTGGGTTTGGTGCCTGGCCTCACAATATTTGGGTTCTTGGTCTTCTTCTTGTCTCCTTTCTTTTCTGAAAACAGAAGGGCACAGAACGTATCATGTTGTAGTAGGATTTCAAAACTACCTGTCCAAAAAGCTGATATTTATATTTAGCCCATTTTGACAAAACTGCCTGTCTAAAATTAAGTAAAATAGTACGGATATATAGTGAGAAGTTGCAAATTAAAGATGAATTGCTATGCATTTAAACATGACAGTGATATTTTAAAGGTTAATTTGGAGCCTTATAAAGGCCCCTTCAACCAGATGACTTTTGATGCTTTCCCCCCAAATCAATGCAAAAAATCACTTTATTTCCCAAAATCATGATTTCTTTTGTGTGTGATATTTTCCCAAATCAACAGGCACAGGCCCCTGTGGAAATGAAGTAGAAAAATGACTGCTTGAGCATTAACTTACTACTGGCAGCAGGGGCAGAGTCATCCAATTCATCATCAAATATCTCACGGCCATCTTCCACATACCCTGATCCGTCTAATAAACAGAAAGCATAAGTGGTAATTAAATCAAGAAAATTAACAAAAAAAAACAGTGAATCAGATGTAATGATAACTGTAAATACAGACTTTATCAATACAAATAGTAATAAAAGTGGTGTTACTGTCTAAATTATTGATGATGATCTCTGTGGTAAGTCACTAATAAACTAGATTTGTGCATAATATTTGTGTATCATTCATTGTGACGCGGTCATACGGTGCAGTGAAACAAATTTGGTCTTTTTGAGTGTACTAATGATGGACAGATCGTCAAACTAATGAGTTTACTGTGGAAACCTTATACTTGTCATATCAGGGGATGTGGACAACAAACGACTACAGTAACGACTCCACGTGATTAACCCTTTCACCAATGTAGACCATAATGGACTCTAGTCGACTGAATGGGTTAACCAGTAAATAATACAACCACCGTGACAAACATACCATCGTCAACGATCCAGTCATCCTCCTGTCGCTCCTGTACAATTTTGGAATATTCATCTTCGTCAACAATATCGTAGACTTGCTGATCTTCTTTTTCCTGCAGAGATAAGGTTTTTTTTAGATATAATTTTCTTTTTCAAAACTAGCCATATTAAGTAACCTGGGATAACGTAGCTTCTGAGAACGAGACATTTTTGTTACATAATGCATCGCCAGAGCTACGAAGTGGTCCTATGCCAACGAACGGAGTAAAATCAAATGTGTCAAATAGTGGTGCTAGATTACTAATAAGGGTGGAATGACCCATGGTGTGGATGGGATTTAGAGGAAATGACCCGGATAAAAAAACTACTTTTTTGGTTAGAAAAGTAGGTAAAAATATATCTAGTATATTAGTCAAAATAACACCACCTGAGCCAAAATTTCACAAATTATATACCTTGTTGAAAAAAAACAAAGATACACAAAATATTAACTCATTCACCCCTGTCATTCCTGTAGGAACTCTATCTCCCATGTAGACACATCTGAATTCTTCCAATTCAAAGGAATAGTTCAATATAAAATTTCAGGGGTGAATTTGTAATAAATTATCAGACATTCACTTTGAGACAGTGTTTATATAAGAGGGTCAAAAGGAGTGGCTAGTAATTAATAAGGTTTGATGATGAAGCTTAATTTCGGATTTATTCCTTAAATCACAAGATTACCTCATATTTGTTTTTCACACCGGCAGCTTTGGCTTCGCGCAATCTCTGCAAGGCTGCAAACTTTCCCTTCTTGTCTATTTTTTGACGTTTTGACCGTCCACGAGCAAGCGATTCTACCAATAAAACACAAAATGTACATGTAAAATAATCACGGATGCTGACATTTACAAAGAAATCAGTGCAAATAAGATCAAATTGTCTAGTGTTGGATTAGTACACAAAACCGGCCCTACAAAAACAGCTGACAGTGTTTTTTTCACATGTGCTTAATCGGAGCTAGATATAAGCTGATCAAAATAGAACATAAAGAAAGATTAAATCAACTATACGAGGACATATCTACACGAGTCAATAGTTGTGTACCTTGATCACCATCGTTGTTATTTTCTGTGTCCGAACCTGGCGCCATTTTCACGTAGAGTTGAATCTGGCGCGAAACACCAGATGGCGCTAGACGTGATGAACCGGAAACAAAACAAATATTATAAATTTCTCCAAATAAACCAAACCAGGGACTTAATTTCCGGAATTCGTGAGACTGAGGAATGTGGAACAACCGGTTTGTCCGCTTTTAAATAAAACAATTTCAGGTAATAATCCTGGCGGACCTACAAATGTTTATGCAGGCTTCCCAGGCATTGTCAAGGCTCGCCGTAAAGCAGCATCACATTACTAGTTCCGACCTTATTCATTAAGTGAACAACTGTGGACCGACCGGTTTAACCGTTTACGCGTATCCGGTTGAAACGGTTGAACCGGTTAAAAACTAGGGGTACATTCACCTATCCGGTTAAAACGGTTGAACCGGTCGAACTAGGGTTACATTCGCGTATCCGGTTGAAACTATTTGAACCGGTTGAACTAGGGGTACATTCGCGTATCCGGTTGAAACTATTTGAACCGGTTGAACTAGGGGTACATTCGCGTATCCGGTTGAAACGGTTGCACCGGTTGCACTAGGGGTACATTAGCGTATCCGGTTGAAACGGTTGAACAGGGGTACATTCACCTATCCGGTTAAAACGGTTGAACTAGGGTTACATTCGCGTATCCGGTTGAAACGGTTGAACCGGTTGAACCTGTACAGGCACAAATCTGGACCTGACGGAAACTAACATACTGACTGTTATTAGTTTGCATTATTTCTTTCTAAAACAATATCAAGTCACATGTAGTTTTTATGATACGTGATATCATACTATTCTTGATACATTGTTTTTTATTCTCCGAAACTGTGCATTTTTAGCTCTGCTTATAGAACGGTTCAACGAGAAAACCAACCGGGATAAGCGAATGTAGCATAGGGCCTGTTCACATTATTATGCATGTCTTGCAAGGCTTTGTCAAGGCACTCCTGAAAGCAGCATCAGATTACTAGGTCCGACCTTATTTACATCTAATAAACGAACAACAGTGGTCCGACCGGTTTGACCGTTTAACGAAAACGATATGAATATATTCAGGGTCATCTTGGCTAGCCAAGTGTTCGCTTCGTATACACTCAAAAGTGGAGTGTATACGAAACGAACACTTGGCTAGCAAAGATGATTCAGGGTAAAAACCGTTCAGTATGTCATCTTTTCTCTGGAGCCATACAATTGTAAAGTGTACTGTACCCTGAACGTTTTGCTAACTTCCCAAATTGGTACACCGTCAGAAAATGGTTCGAATATTACTTTAAAATTAAATTTGATAATTTTTCTTTGACAGTATAACACAAAAGATATTTATCAGCATTTCCACCAAATAGTTTTATTTTCATGAACATTTTGAAAGTACACGATGACTTCAAAGTAAACATATCAGTAAACCAGTAAAAACGATGTACGTCGACGAAAATTTGGAGGATTTTGAAGGGGTTAACTGAAAGCATGTTTAAATGTTGATTTCTGGTCCTTATATAAATTGTAGTTCAGTATGGTATTTATAAAAGCAATATATTGTGTTGCAATTATCGGCACATCAACTAGTAGAAATAATATTAAGTTACAGCAGAGACGTAATTATTAATACATACGTCTCTGGTTACAGCCTGTTATATGGTGTACCAATTTGGGTACTAATCAAGGACGAAATCTCACTGCGAGTTAAGTGTTCTAGTTTCAAAAACATATTACTTAGAATTAAAACTTTTTCTGAAAATGAACCACCGTACTTCGAATAGTTCTTTAAAATTAAATTTGAGCGTTTTTCTTTGACAGTATAACAGAAAAGATATTTATCAGCATAAATACCTGCAAACTACCTCTTTGTCAATTAGAATCAAGAAACATTCCTGATAAAATACCAGCAGTTTTAAATATCATGGAAAAACTGTCAAAATTGTACCAATTGTGGTAGCGTGACGTTATATCAAGCAATGGAAATACTTCATATTATACAATAAAAGACTAAGAAAGTGCGAATGTTGTAGGTGACTCCGTTTCCGAGATATTGTGATTTATTGGGGGAAAAAACTCAGCGGCGATCGCCTCGATGTAGCTCACATCTGTGACGTCACAAGTTCCATGCTGTCAAAACAGCCCTAGCCTTAGGAATATACCGGAAAGCTTCGATCGTGCGTTCGATATGTGAGCTTTTTAGCTACTTATGTGATATATTCCGCCGTCACTTACTATACATATCAATGGTTTATTTTTTACAATTTTAATGATGAAATGAGTTCCTCCTGAGGTGGTAAACGGTGTGTTGGATGCTATCTAAATGAATATGTGTTTTTACATAATTGGTTAATCTAGTGACTGAAGATAATATACTTTTTACTATTAAATTGATCCTTTAGAAAAAATGATGAACACCTATATATACAACACAAAACAATTGATTAAAAATTGAGTCATATTAACGTAAACGAACCGCACCCCTTTCTTTACAATATGTAGATAGACAAAAAAAAATGCACCGGTACAATAATTTATACTCAATGTGAGCAGCAACACGTGTTAATTTTACTCCCAGTCATAAAACTTGAAACGTTTTTATTCTTAATGCAATCCAAGGAATTTAGCACATAATAAATATACACACACTTCTAAGACTATTGCAGAGGGAGAACCTCGCAGAGATTAGTAATTTATCAAGGAACCACCTCATGCAGGGTAGTGACTATTTTGGACGTTTTTAGTGCCCAAGGGTGTGTGGGGGGGGGGGGGGGGGGGGGGGGGGGTTGAATTCAGCGGTATGTGTTTTGACATTTTCTAGCTGAAATGAAGATTGTACCTTTTTATTACATGTATAATAAGTCTTATATGTGAGCGGCATTTTACTTTCGTTATACTTTCAATGGTAGGGTGTCGAGAAGACATACCCTCAAGTTTTAAGTGAAGCTTACTTATTAGGAAGTCACGGCGGAATTGGAATGGTGGATCCCCGGACTCTACCTGCAAACTTGCTAAGGAGGTGCATCTCATGCTATGCAAACAAGTTTTTAAACAATTTATTGTAGTTGATTTAGTTTTTCTAGTTGAGAATTGCTAGCCGAGTTGTACACTTCGGCTCCGTAGTCTATTATACTCCGGATTAGTGTTTTGTACAATGTAAGTAATGTGTACCGGTTATATCCCCAGTTTGTACCACTTAAATATTTTAATAAAATTAAACGCTTCTCGCTCTGTTGTACAATAGAGTCTATATGGGCACTCCATGTTAGTGCGCTATCATAGTACATGCCTAGGAATTTTGCAACAGACTTAATTATTAACCCTGTATCACCCATCTTAACATTAACATAAGTCAGTTTCGTATTAGTACTTCTGCCTTGTTTGAATAGAACCCCAATGGTTTTGGTTTCTAAAATTTTAAAACCCCTTGTGTCACACCATTTTAATATTTTGGTTATTTCTGAGGACATAGTTGTACATAGGAACCAAGATTTCTATGCGCTTTCCATATGGCGCTATCATCAGCGAACTGAGAAATATCATGTTTATTCATAAGACAGTAAGATATATCGTTTATACATATATTAAAAAGTGTTGGGCTGAGAACTGAGCCCTGAGGGGTACCGTTCTCTATTATTTATGTGTCGGAGCATATATCTCCAATACGTACCTGTATAGATCGATCCTGTAGAAAATCCTTTATAAACCATGCATGTTTCCATGTATGCCCATATGTTTCATTTTAAAAAGTAAGTCCATCTTTCCACATCATGTCAAAGGCTTTTTCAAAGTCTATAAAAACTGCAAGTACATTTTCTTTGTTGAGATTATATTTCTAATTTTCGTTCTCTAACTTAATAATTTGATCAATAGTAAATCTATTTTTCCTAAAACCACACTGATTAATTGTTAGTAAGTTATTTGTCTCTAAAAACCATTTTAGCCTATTATTGACCATTTTCTTCATAATTTTGCACATTGTTGATGTTAATGATATAGGTCTGTACGATAGTGGCAGGCTAGGATTTTTACCGTTCTTAAAAACTGGTGTACCAATGGCACGTTTCCACTTTTAGGGTATTTTTTTATTTACCCAAACTAAATTAAAAAAGTCTAATATGACTTTTTTGGCAGAAATACTTAAATTTTTATACATGGCATATACAATATTGTCTTCTCCTGGACTACTATTTTTCATTAGCCTTAATGCGTCCATAAATTCCTGTATGTTAAACGGTTCATTTATGACGTCATCTGATGGTATGGTTTCATTTATAGATTCTTTGTTTAACTCGTCAAATTCTCTCTTTTTCAAGAAATTCTTGTCTGTTATTGGATGTTTTGCTTACTGATGCGAAAGATGCTGCAAAAAAGATTACATTTTGTGTTAGTATCGGATATATAATTATTATTAGTGGTGTCCAGTAAAGCTGGTATTTGATTATTCTTATTGATATTCCTCGTGTTTTTAACTGCCCACCATACTTTGTTCAAAGAAGTATCTGTATCTATATCATTACAGTACTCTTTCCAGTAATTTTTCTTTTGTATCATTGATAACCTTTTTTTGAATGTTCCCTCTTCCGCCTATAAACCTGTAAATCAGATTGATTAAAACTTCTCCGTGCTTTATTATAAGCTCTGTGCTTGTCACGTATAACACGTGAACATTCCCCGTTCCACCACGATACTGCAGATTTGGTAGTAGACTTTTTCTGCGTTATAGGAATAAAATCAGTAGCAATTTTAAAAATACAATTTTCGAGCTTTACATGGCTTTCTTCAATATTTTCGCTTAAGAGTGTTGGAGTTATCTCCCTTGCACTGGATGACATATAACCCTCCCAGTTGGCTTTTGACAAATTTCACTGGGGCTTTGTATTTGTATAGTTAATGGTAGGCATGCATCTGTATTTTATAATAATAGGATAGTGATCACTATCAAAATTGTCATCATGGACACTCCATAAACATTTACCCGATATGTCCGGTGTAGCCATTGTCAGATCTATATATGATATTTCTAGAGTAGCTTGATTTACTCTCTACCAGATCCGTCATTTAATAGGGTTATGTTAAAGGTATCAAATTCCCCAACTCTAAACACCTTTAAGACTCGTCTTAACAACCACTGGAAGCAACACCCAGCCAAGTTCAAACCATCTTTTATTAGACACTGTGTGACATTCTGATATGAACAGTGATACTGATAGTAGTGTGAACAGTGTATTTTAACCATACTTTTAACTATATAGGAGAGGAACTTTACTGGGAGTTACGTAACTCCATATCAAACTTACTACGCGTTAATGAAATAACATTTGTAAATAGCAACCAGAAGTCAATAGTACGCGAAAGTACGTTATACTATTAAGTAGAGAAAAGATACATCTACACAAGCCCCGGCTTACCATTGATGTCAACTGAGCGAAACTGAGCGAAATATAATCGTATAAGACCTTTCCTATTACGTCACATCTTTCTCCGCCCCATAAGGTATGATTGTTTGTTTGTTTTAACAATTTTTATTATATATATAAATAAACATATATAAATGGATCAGATAACAGGCTAGGCCTATATCAATCTTCTCCCTGATGGTGTAAGTATGATATTATATATATACATGTAATTAATAAGCTATTTATATTATTGTATTCAATTCACACACTCAATCATACATTAATACAATTAACTACTTACACACTCATGTCAATACTCATTCACTATATGATATTTACAATATTATCTAAATTGACTAGCAACTATCAACAATTAAGATTGAATTAGGTAATTACACCAAATAATTCATTTAATTGTATGTATATGCAAAAACATATATAATAGATTGATTATATTTAAACATTTATTTACATCATCCTAACCGTTTGGATGCATTGATGGACTTTTCAACATTAGACAAAATCAGTATATTTATTTCAGAAGGTAAATCAGTACTTCCAGATGTCAAAAGTTGAACATTTAAGTATCCAGCTCTGGTATAGATATCATGGATTAAGTTCACGGAATTAGGGTAATTTGGACAAGTGAAGAAGAAGTGTTCAGAATTTTCAATTGGATGACCACATGAACAGGAAGAATCAGTAGAAAGATGGTCAGCAAATTTGTCACTGGCATTATTTCTAAGTTGGCAGAGGATAACATTTAACTTTCTAGGGCTACAGTTTTGAAAAACAGAAGTAATATTTACAAGAGGGATTCTTTCATTATTCAATTTAGATTTGAATATATTTAATGATGGCGCTGAGGTTATTTCAGAATCAAGCGAATTCCATATTTTCATGACATCTGGAAAAAAACTATTGCCAAATAAATTAGATCTAAAGCGAGGAATATTAAAAAATCTGTATTGTCTAAGATTATGAGGTGGAACAGCATCATTAATATAAGGTTTAACAATGTCATGTAAATATACTGGTGTCATATGATTTAGAATTTTAAACATTAAAATAAGTTTGTGCTTATGACGCCTAGAAGAGAGCAGTTCAAACCCAGTTTCAGAATATAGTTTCCGATGTGATGTTCCACTTCGTAATCCAGTTATTATTTTCATGGCCTCAATTTGTACAGATTGTGATAGTTTCGCTTCGCCAATAGTGCAATTGTTCCAAATAACATCTGCATACTCAAGAATAGGTCTTACATAAGAATTAAAAGGTATGATGACTGTTAAAATCAACACACATTATATATGGCGTATTGATGTAAGTATTGAGTTCACTGTAGTCTTCTAGTTTATTAGTTTTACATGTATTATATATATTAATGATACTGACGGATTTGTCATGCAATTTTATAACGACACCCACAACCTCCATAGTTGTACTGACTATACTCAACTCGTGGAAAGTCAGGGTTTCTTAACATATATGGCAACATCGCCTGAAGCCCCAAAAAACCTCTGGATCCGCCAATGCAGGTACATTAACGACAGGTTCCTGTGGTTCTGTGGCGGACGGACGAACGGGGTATGTCAATATGTCGTGAACCTTTATCTAGAATTTTAATTAGCCAGAGGAGTAAGATTACAATTACTAGTAGGG